GTCCAGCGACATAGCCATTACGCTAACTGCTGGTTCCCAACACTTTTTTTTTTTAAAAAGGTACACATGATGGGTCAGCAGGTGGCACACTGGTTAATGCGTTGAACTCCCATATGGCTGACAGCAGTTTGAGTCCCAGACCTGGTGGCTTGGTTTCTCACCTTCCTTCTCTCTTTTCTCTTGTTTCTGTCTGGTGAGCATTAAAAAAGTAAGAGGCCACCAAAAAAAAAAAAAAAAAAAAAAAAAAAAAAAATGGCTATGTCGCTGGATTCTCATGTATTTGACCACAGTTTGAGTCCCAGACCCAGTGGCTTAAACTCACGCCAGGCACATGTGCATGTCCCCAAGATCCCAAAGAGAATGGAGAAGGGATTGTGGCATGGCCATCCCCCCTGGGGGGGTGATTTCTCTTTGTCTCTGTCTTTCTGGAGAACGCACACACCCTACAGCAAAAACCTCTACAAAAATAAAGAAAGTTAGGGGCCAGCAGGTGGCATGGTGGTTAAGAGCGTTGGACTACCACATGGCCGACTGAGGTTCAAATCCCAAACCTTGTTTTCTCACTTCCCCTCTCTTTCTCTGTCCCTCTCTGGTCAAATTAAAATAAAGTTAAATAAGATAATTTAAAAAACAATAGTAAGAACAATAACAATAAATTAAATTAAATACAAATCATTTTTAAAAAGTGATACGTGTCCACTAAATAATGAACAAATCAGCTTGTTAAAAAAAAAAGAGGGAAACATGAACTTAACGTTTTGAGAACATTTTCACAGGCTCACGAATAGGCCTGAAATCATCCAGACTCCAGGTTAAGAACATTTTCCTCTGAAACACACCGGGCACCTGTGAGTACCCAAATCCCTCTTTGGACTGCTCGCTCGCTTGATCTCTGGTGAGCACATGTGTTCTGGCAACTAAAAAAAAAAAAAAAAAACAAGGACCAGCAGATGGCGTAATAGTTACATTGCTGGACTCCCACATAGTTGACCACAGTTCGAGTCCTGGACCCAGTGGCTTAAAACTCACTCCAGGCACATGTGCATGCATGCCCAAAATCCCAAGAGGAGAATGGAGGGGAAGGGATCATGACGTGGCCATTCCCTCCGGGAGGTGATCTCACACTTTCTGTCTGTCGCTCCCTCTCTCTCTGGCAAGCACACGTGCCCTATAGCAAAAATCTCTCTTAAAATAAAAACAAAACCAAAAAAGCACACAAAAATGCCGAGTTGACACTTTGGAATGAAAAGAAGCCAGAATTTGAAGGAAAGGAGATGAATGTTTGCTGATCTGAAGTTTTAAAAGCTTTATATGCTATTGTGTAACTAAAAAGTAAAGTAAAAGTCAACAAAAAACTGAATGCCAGGAAAGAGTCAGGCAGAAGATGTAACATGAACCAGGAGAGGTTTCCTGGAGGAGGAGTATTTGAGCTGGGCTGTCAGTGAGGGGGAGGAGGCAGTGGTAAATATGTTTTAGGTAAGACGTGCATGAATGAAGCCAGGCAGGAGGGATGGGAGGCTTGGGCCCTTCCAGGTGGCAAGCCTTCAGCCCTTAGAATCAGAAACTGGTATTTGTTCCAGCTGGGCCCCAGACCCCGAGCCTCCTGGCATTTTGAGAGTCCCTGGGCTTTGATGGCGCAGTTGCTTGGCGGAACGCAGAGCCATTCCCACTTCTTGCTGCCTGTTCCTGCATTTGGGCAGGTGACACCCTCCCCCCAAGTCCCTGCCATGAGAAACCACACTGGAACTTAGGAGACCCAACTTAAGAGTATTAGGCAAGTCACATTAAGCCTCTGGGGTTCCATTTCTAGAGTGGAGAATTTAAAAATAAATAAATAAATAAATCACACACACACAAAGTGGGGTTGGCAGGTGGCATGGTGGTTAAGGGTGCTAGACTCCCACATGACTGATTGAGGTTCAAGTCTCAGACTTGGCGGCTTGCTTTCTCACTTTCCCTCTCTCACTCTGTCCCACTCTGGTCAAATTAAAAAAGAAGTAAATAAAGTTAAATAAAATAATTATTTTAAATATGTGTGTGTGTGTGTGTAATTGCTGAAGGAACAGTGGGTGTGGGGAAGGAAAGCAGCCCCCAGTGGGGCATGGTCATGGTGCCATCTCTTCTCTTCCATTCTCCATTCTATTGGAATTTTAGATACATCCATAGGCACCCAGTGCTTTTTTCACACCCCAGGCCAGGATTCAAACCACACAATTGACCATGTGAGATCTAGTTCCCTTAATCACCAGGCCATGGGACTGGCTCTATTTTTTTCTTTTAAGTTTTTAGGGTATGTGTACTCCCCAGAGAGACAGACACAGTGAGAGAGAAAGTGCCCAGCTTAAGTTCCAAGCCACTGGGTCTAGGACTTGAACTGCAGTCAGCCACGCAGGAGTCTAGCAATGTAACTACTATGCCATCTGCTGGTCCCACATCTGGCTCCTTGTAAAAATATATTTTGCTGGGACCAGCAGGTGATGTGGTGGTAAAGGGCACTGGACTCCCACATGGCCAACATGGTTCAAATCCTGGACCTGGCAGCTTGCTTTCTCACTTTCCCTCTCTCTCTCACTCTGTCCCTCTCTGATCAAATTAAAATAAATAAGCACATAGATAAAGTTAAATTTATATATATCTGGGGAAAACAGGTCGCATGATGGTTAAGGGCGCTGGACTCTCACATGGCTGACCACGGTTTGGGTCCTGAACCTGGCAGCTTGCTTTCTCACTTTCCCTTTTTTCCTCTCTGTAGTCAAATTAAAGAAATTAACGGTAGTGAATAAAATTAAGTAATTCTTTTAAAAATACAGGATCAGCAGATGGCATAATGGTTACATCACTGAACTCCCATATAGCTGACCATGGTTTGAATCCTGGACCTGGCAGCTTGAAACTCAAGCCAGGTGCATGTGTGAGAGGAGAATGGAGAAGAGACTGCAGTGTAGCCATCCCCACCAGGGGGTGCTTTCTCACTTTCTGTCTGTCTCTCTCTCTGGTGAGCACATGTGCTCTACAGCAAAATAAATAAATAAATAATCAAGAAAATAAACAAATACTTTAAAAAAATAATATAAAAGGTCTGTCAAGGGCCAGCTCCATGGCGCAGTTATGTGCTATGCATGGTAAGCCGCATCCTGCGTGGCTGGCTGCAGCTACGACCCCGGCCTCCACAGAAGAAAAGCATGCTGGGCGCATGTGCATGGGTGCCCCACATCCTGAGAGAACTGAGAAATGAAGAAAGAGGGCTCTGGCATGACCACACCCTGGCGAAGGGTTCTCTTTCCAGCTAGCACATGCATACTCTGGGAACTAAAAAACCAACAAACTGTCAAGTGGGCAAATACCATAGACCCCATGGCATGGCATGTCTCAGGACCAGAGAGAATGAGATGTGAAGAGCGAGCCGTCGCTCACCCACCCATCGGCATGGAGAAAGCACAACTGCATCCCAGCCTGTGCCGCATGTATTACCATGGGATGAGCCAGGCGGTCTCTGCTCTCGCGGATGACAGCGTGGTGGTGAGACAGACATGAAGGATGCACCAATCACTGGCTGATTACTATTCTGAGCATCTACCCTGTCCGAGTCTAGAGCCTGAAGAAAGCTTCCCTGGGGAGGTGACATTTAATCCAGGAGAGGAGGTGAGCTCAGGGCATTC